TCATAGTGAGTACTTAATAATTACTGAATGAGTGAATGTAAGATCTGGAGTGTTTTTTGGCTTTTTTTCATTCCATTCAGTGTAATAATTGACTTTCCCTCTCCTTCCACAAGCCCACTATAACAAAAATAGTAGGTATGTAAATTGACGGTATGATTCAGAAAGAAAAAAAGTAGAGTGGATAAAATACTTCTCTTTTGTGGTAGTTTTGAATGTTTAAAATGAAAATAGAAATTTGACGAAATAGAAATTTGACATTCCTTCAAAGACAATCCATTTTTAATCACAAGTTGTTTTTGAAGATCCAGATTTTGAGATTTGGGTAATGTCATTATATGTATAGTAATGTAGTTTAATTATTGAAGGACAAAGTTAAAATAAACTCACCTGTAGCAAGCATCTGGTTGTTGATAGAGCAAGTTTCCAAGGCTTTGAGGTACCAACTTTCCACCTAATGAAAACCCACTTGATAAGTAATGTTGTCTTAGAATAATGTCGTCATAGACTAATTTTTTACTGCATGAAATCAGTTTTGGAGTAAATGTGGTATAAAAAGAAGTATTTTAGAAATCTGCCTATACTTTAAATTAGTTACTATTTATTGAACACCTATGTGCACCGTAGTGAAGGACTCAGAGAATAGAGTCTTTATTCTTGAGGAGCACACAATCTAGTGTTTTTCTAATAATGTAAAAGTAGCAATTGCCTGATAGCTATCAGTCACTGCTTTTATTTATAGTCGCACTGGACTTACCCTAAAAGAATTTTGGTAAACAAGTGAGATTTATTTTTATTCATTTATTTATTTTTTTTTTTTCCCAGAAGATGACAGGTAAGGGGATTTTAACCCTTGACTTGGTGTTGTCAGCACCATGCTCTCCCAAGGGAGCCATGTGCTGGCCCTGTGAGATTTATTTTTAAAATTTATTTTTATAAACACACTATAATTTATATTCCTTGCCAGTAGGTGCAGCAACAAAGAGAATAGGTAGAGAGCTGAGAGAAAAATCTAGACTACTGAAAATGTTTGGTAGGTTTTAAAGGATTATTAAGCTTCATTATTTTTATTTATTTATTTTTTCAAAAGATGACTGGTAAGGGGATCTTAACATTTGACTTGGTGTTGTCAGCACCATGCTCTCCCAAGTGAGCTAACCGGCCATCCCTATATAGGG